GCCATGCCCTCGAGCTTGCTGGCAGTGCGGCCCACCACGTAGATTGGGGAGAAGCCCATGTTGTGGAGGGCGAAGATGGCAGCACGGGCAGTACCGCCACCACCGATGACCACGGCACTTTGCTTGCCGGTGGAACCGTAGACGCCTGCGTTGCGCATGCATTGCACCATGCCTTGCCAGTCGGTGTTGTAACCAATCAGACGAGGGGGGTTGTTGCCGTTGGGGACGGGCACGACAGTGTTGACGGCACCGATGATTTCAGCCTCCTGGGCGACTTCGTCGAGCAGGGGCATGATGTCCAACTTGAGGGGGATTGTCACTGAGGCACCGCCGAAGTCGGGGGCGCGGATGAAGTCCTTGACGTCTTCGACATTGGTAGTCTCCAGGCGAGAGTACTCGTAGGGAAGACCCATTGTGCCGAAAAGGGTGTTGTGAAGAGCGGGAGACCGCGAGCCCGAGACGGGGGAACCGAAGATAGCAAACTTCTTGGCCTTGATCTCACCCATCAGGGAGAGGCCACGGCGAATCTCTGCAGCGGACAGCTGACCAGGTGCCGCCTTGAAAGGAAGGCTGGGGTGAGACACCGGCGTCATGAAGCCGTTCAGGATACGGCTCAGCTGACCACTGTCGCCCATGTTGATCGCAATCAACGGGACATCGTGGGCTTCTTCAGCCCATGTCTTGAACTTCCGAAGGGCAGTGTTATCATCAAGGGTATTGGCAACACCGACGAGCTTGATCACATCACCGTACTCCAGAGCACGGTTGTAGGATTGAATCCAAGACATGTTGGACCACGACAGAGTGCCCTTAGGATCATGGTGCGAGGCGATGATCTTAGAGTAACCCTTCATCTCAGTAACGGCACGGAGCATTGCATCAGGGAAGGCGATCTCAAGATCCACGAATTCGCAGCCAGAACGGAACGCTAGTCGGTACAACTCCATTGCGGCATCATGAGCATCGTCGGGGAAGCGGCCACCTTGGCTCTTGGTGCGGATGGTGAAGATGAGGGGCAGAGTGGTACGACGACGAAGGAGAGACATTTGCTCGTTGACGTAGTCAACCGAGGGAATATCGCCATCAACTGAAGGGTCCTTCAACAGATCCACCCGCAGTTCGACAGCATCAGACCCGACACAAGCTTCCGTGATAATATCGCCTGACGGTTGGAGATCAGGCAGAGTCAATGAGACGAAGAAGCTGTGCTGCTTCTTCTTAATGATACTAAGGCTGTCTACTTGGCCAGTGATGACCCGCATGAAGCGGGTAAAGTCCTCTGAGGCAAGGGTCATATCCGTTGAGGTGGATTGCTGGCTGAAGTACTGGATGTTACTGCACTCTTGGAACCAAGGCTTACGTCGTAGCCATACGCCCATCATGTCCTCCACGTAGGCAGGGCGAGTCTTATCAATCTGGAGGAAGTCCATCACGAGCTTGATGTCGCGCATGATGAGGAGCACGTTGCCCTTGTTCTTGTGGTAGTCGATAAGCAGCTTCCGTGCCTCGGGCATTTCGACAACACCTCCGCCGCAGGCGAAGACATAGCCAGTAGGATGATCCTTCATGACGCGTCGCAGGATAGCGAGTTCTGCGTCCCTGAATCCCTCCCAACCGCGTGTCTTGATAATATCGGGGATAGCGATACCCTCGGAAGTCTCAAGCTCTGTGTCAAGATCGATGAACCGACGATCAAGGGCCTTAGCAACCCAGTTGCCGGCGGTGGTCTTTCCAGCGCCGCGCATACCGATGATGAAGACAGAGGCGCTGCTGCGCTTTTCATCGCTCGAGGCAGCATTTTCAGCTTCCTTCAATTCTTTACCATTGAGGTTCACGCTGAACATTTGCTTCAAGGCATCCCACCAGCCGGGCCAGGTCTTGCCAACACATTCTTTCTCCAAAATAAGGGTAGATTGGGGAGCGATAAGAGAAAGCACACTGAAACTGAACGCGACCCGGTGATCATCGTAACAGTAAACTCCACCGGATGGTTGGCGAAGGGTAGAACGCTCGATGCCATCGATCTCAAGACCGTCGTCATGCTCACGGCACACCACCCCGAATTTAGCCAATTCGTCTTTCATAGCCTTGATACGGTTGCATTCCTTGACACGCTGGTTTGCGATACCGTAGATACGGGTTGTGTGGTTTGAGCCCTTGCCTCGGGCAACGGCCGCGAGAACGGAGGCAGTAAGGAAGGCATCTGTCATGGGCTCCATGTCCACATTAGGCAGCGGCTGCAAAACGCCATCAGTAGGTCCGGTAACAGTGGTGGAAGAATCCGTCTGTACAACAGAGCAGCCCATAGGCCTTAGGACATCCACTGCGAAGCGAGCATCGCCCTGAAGGGACTTGGAACCAATGTTAGGGACGGTGCAGGTAGTGCCAGTGACAGCAGCGATTGCCAAAGGATAGGTCGCAGAGCTTGCATCGCTCTCCACAACATATTCGGCCGGGTTCACGTAGTGAGCTTGAGGAATGTGGTAGGTGTGCTCTTCGGTGGTAGACTTCTTCACGTCGATACCGAAAGACCTCATCATGGCCGTGGTCATGTCGATGTAAGGCTGTGAAATGGGCTTACCGCCGACCAACTTCAAAGTCACTGGCTCCTTGGCGTACGGAGCGCACATGAGCAGTGAAGAGACGTACTGAGAAGAAACTTTAGCTGCCAGGTTGATCTTTCCTCCTGCGAAGCCTCCAGAAGCGGCGATCTTGAGAGGAAGACATCCCTTGCTCTCCATATACTCGACACCAGCACCATTGACGGTAAGAGCGTCAACAAGGTCGCCAATGGGCCTTTGCTTCATGCGGTTGTTGCCGGTCAAGACACTCGAGTCGACACTGCTGGGAGTAGCGAGTGTAGCCACGGTGGTGAGGAATCGCGAGGCAGTACCGGCGTTACCCAAGTACAGAGGAGAAGGACTTGCGATAATCTTTCCGCCTTTGCCGTTCACAACAAGGACCTCACCTTCCTCCTCCCAAGAGAAAGTTGCCGCACCGAGTCGCTCTAGGGCATTCAACATGACCTCAGTGTCATCAGAGTGCAAGAGATTCTTGATGCGGCAGGTTCCAGAACCAAGCGCAGCAAGCACAAGAGCACGGTTGGAGATACTCTTCGATCCAGGGGGCGCGCAAGTGACATTGAGCGACTTGGGCACTCCGGGATGAACTTCAACGCTGGGAGCAAGGACGACACCAATATCCTCATTAGAGACGACACTGGCCTTTGGCTCGTGAGTGCGGCCAATTGCCGATAAGAGCACAACCTTTTTCTTCGGGCCATCGTTCTTCTTGTCCAAAGCCATGTTGAACAGCAATTGGTCTACAGAGCAGTGCTTACCAGCAGTCAACTTACGAACCCGAGGATCTTTCATAGAAGTGGGCAAGCCGTATGCCGAGATGCACTTTACCACACGAGCGACGGCGACACCCTTCAGGATGCCCAAATGTCTCGCAAGCTCTGCCTCCTTCACCATGCCGATTGCGACACATTCGCCGTGAAGGATCTGAGGGGTAAGGATTGCCTCAATGGCATGTCCAATAGAATGACCCCAGTTGAGGAGGTTGCGAAGGCCGCCCTCACGCTCATCTGCGGAGACAACAAAGGCCTTGTGACGTGCCGAGGCCAGGATTCTAGCCTTCAGGATATCCCGGATGCCGTCGAAACGACCTTGGCCAGCCTTCGGCTCGCTGCGCACAGCAGCCAAGATGGAATCTGCGTTATCTTCCAAGGCAGTGAATTCTTCTTCACTTGAGATGGCAGCAGTTTTAATGACCTCGGCCATGCCATTGATGAACTCTCGGACGGGGAGAGTTTCCAGGAACTCAAGATCAATGTAGATTCTCGATGGCTGCCATATAGAACCAATGAGGTTCTTACCAAGCGGGGTGTCAATAGCCGTCTTTCCTCCGATTGATGAGTCCACCATGGCAAGGAGCGTGGTTGGGACCTGCACGAAGCGCACACCTCGCATGTAGGTTGCTGCAACAAATCCAGTCAAATCCCCAATTACACCGCCACCCAATGCAATGATCACTGTGTCTCTACCACATGGTGGATTCTGGCTCAGCATCCAATCTTCGATGTCGGCCTTTGTCTGCCGTGACTTTGAGCTTTCTCCGGGGGCCGCATTGTGGATGAGGAGCCGCGGGGCTGGGGTGATGGAAGCGGCGGCAGCCTCAAATGTCTTTTGGAAAGTGGGGGTATAAAGAGATCCGAGGTTGGTATCGGTGATAAGAACGTAGGTCGTCGAGGACAAGCCATTGATTAAGTCCTTTGCGACAAAATTGCGCCAAAGGCCAAAATCAGCGACAATGCTCTCCTGGCCCAAGATGCTGATCTTGGTGGGTTTGGACATTGTGGAGGAGGATAGAGACGAGGACTCGGTAATGGTAAAGTTCAATAACTGCTCATTTCATTCTGTGACTTATTAGTACCCTGACTCATAGTACTGTACTTTATCTGTTTTCCCTCCCCACTATGAATCTAGGGATACATGGTGCACAATAATTTGGAGGAAAGTGACGGATTATAGGAGAGTGACCAACCTGGATAGAGCTGATCCTAGAGCCAATGGTATATCAAAAGAAAATAATCACCAAGTCAAGAACCAACAAGACAAAGGAAAAAGAGTAGTTTCCCCTCCGGTGTCGCGGGCAGTTTCTTGACCGCCCGGTGACTCAATCTGTCGATCTATACAGAGTACACATATAACACTCGGAACATCTACGATCTGTATTATACAGATATGTACTCATATCTGCAAATTTATTTGGTACTAATTTGAATGAATCTCAATTTAGACTATGAAATCAACATATTCTCCAAAAAATTGCCAGATTCCACATCGTAACCTCAATTTTCAACTTGGCCGACATCGCTTGTTTTGAATGCGAACCCTACAAATAGCCGAGACTATCCTGGGATTTCAGTCTTCTGTCAAATCAATCCCGATTATCGAGTTCAACTCGATTACGGTGCTCGAGTTGACTGCGTCCAACTAGTCTGGCGAGTTTAAAGTATCTGCCAATTGCGAATTGAATGCCGCCTGGATACGTTCATTGGATCCTGTGTTGTGAACTCTCGATGGCCGAGTCTTGTTTTTGGAAACACCATTATCCCGCCGACTGAGTTGCGTATTTGGAGGGGCCTGGGAACATTTGCCGGAGTGCTTTACTCCGGGCCCAATGTCTCCGCCAGGGCCAATCTCTTTTACACGGCCGGTCTCCCCAACGCTCTGGGTTCCCATTTGAGCACGGTAGCTGTTAAGCTGGCTAAGAGGCTGATTGTTGGCAATGATGTTCCCAATGGATCTCCGTCCAATTGTCTTGGTATATTGCTCGACCAGCACATCCATACCAGCGAACAGGGTACTGCCATTTCCATCTTCCTCAGCTTCGTCAGACTCGACTGAGAGCTGGACCTGCTGAAATTGCTCGCATATTTTGCCAGCAAATTGATATAACACCTCACGAGTGCGGATGTAATCACTGATGGCTCCTTCCTGAGGTGAACCGATATTGTCGCCGCCTGAGGCAACCGGTAGCGCATGCTCGGGCTCAAGTGCGGCTATGGAGGTCAATGCCGTTGCTGGATCTTCAATCGTGTTGGAAGATACGGGAGATGGAATATTAAGTCTGATAGTACTAGGTTCGTGGTGCCATTTCATTGGGCCTACCACCCGTGGTGAAAGAAATCGCAACCCCTGCCTTACCGTCCGCACTTTGTTCCCCAACAAAGAATGGAGAGTGCATAAAAAAGGTCGAATGCATCAAGCTCCGGGGGAGTCGTGTCGAGGTTGCTGCCGGAAAATAGCGTCGGAACCACACGCATGAGCTGAGTTGTACACCAGGTCGCGAATATCAAAGGAAATATCTTGCAAGCTACACCCCGCACACCGTTTTTTGGGGGCACAGGAGCTGTCATGCCATCCATAAACCTAGTTGTTTGTTGCCAGAGGTTTCACAACTACCTGCTCCTTATGACAAAGTCCGACCATATGATGATAATTCTCCGAGTCTCCGCGTTATTATACCATAATGCGTCGATCTCCTGTGTTGATGACAAGTTCAAGGCACTAGCAATTCCTGCCGCTGGTTTTTGCATATAAGTGGCCCATTGATAGTCATACAAGATCTCGGGTTCATAAGAGTACTGACGAGATAATGCAGACGTTCTAGGCATTATTATGTACGGCGGAGGCTTGAAGGAAGAAGATTGATTGAGTTGTCTCCTTTGATGAGCATGGGTAGAAGAGTGAACGAGAAGCCTAAGTTGATGTGAACAAGGTTTAAATAGGCACCATGGCTTGTTTGCTTTGCGAAGATAAATCTAAAAATTGGAAGCTCTTCTGATCTTCTGATCTCCCAAGGTTTTGTAATGTATACAAATAATCCAGTGTTGTAAATTATAGGGCCGTGTAGCAAGCGCTTTCCAGGAGATTTCCATGGCTGTTAGCAGCCGTTAGGTTTCAAAAGCGTACATCGTATGAAGAAGACCTTAATGTATAATGATAGATCATAAACCTAATTTACCTCGGGATGTTGCAAGGTTGTACATACTATATACTTGCATGTTTCCCTATTAGACATGTTAGAGTAACTTTGTAGGTAGCATAGGTTAGTACTATGCGTATGCAGCATGTATGTAAATCGTAACCCCTGGATTGTTCTGCCCATATAATGTCCATGTGTGAGGAGCAAAAGATGTCAAGATGATCTCAGATAATCCTTTGTATTGGACGCCAGGCTCAGCTGATATGGAGAGGGTACATAGAGAGAAATAAATCAGTCTTGGAACGATATACAGCAGATCCCTACTCAAGCTGTGGCCTTTCGTGGCATCACACCGTGAATCACTATATTGAAATTTTTTTCGCCTGGCTATTTACACATGGCACGTGTCCATCACTCATCTTCCTCATCCTCGTCATCATCGTCGTCCTCGGCCTCCGATACTTCCTCCCCGAGCTCCTTGAGCCGTTTCTAATAATTGTTAGTCAAGAAGGAAGAGCATACTAGGAATATATCGAGCTAGTAAACATACCTTGTCCTCCGTTCGCTTAGCCTCAAGATCCCCAAAGACAATCAGCAGATCTTCCAGTTCAGATTGGGCTGACTGGCGAGCCTCCTCTTTTTCTTTGGCTTCAGCTTTAGCCCTGTCGAGCTGGGCCTGGATGCTTTTGAGGGCTTCGGCCGCACTGCGAGCGTGGGATTCGGCTTCCGTGGCCTTGTCTTCAGCCTCCTTAGCTCGTGCTTCCAGCGCCGAGGTCTGGGATGCGGTGCCTTCTTGGGCTGTTTCAAGATCATTGCTAGACTTCTGGGCCTTGGCAAGGTCTGATTCCCGAGTTGCAAGATGTTGTTTTAGAGTTGCGATCTCAGCTTCATGCTCTTTTTTGGTTGCAGCGAGATTCGACTCGAGAGTCCCGACTGTATTATCATGCCCAGTGGATTCAGTCTCATATTGTTGTTTGGCCGTAGAGAACTTAGACTCCAAGGTTTCAAGCTTGCTCTTGTAGTCACCGACTTCCGCTTCGTGCTTTTGCTTGGCTGCCACCAAGGTAGATTCCACGCTCTGCAACCTTTTGGTAAGATCGGCGACTTCTTCATCATGGGTTCCCTTGATGTTTTCATATACCTTGATTCTCTTGTTGAGGTCGGCCACCTGTCCATCATTGGCTTTCTTGGTGTTTTCTAGGTCCTGAATCTTCTTTTCAAGACCGGCGACTTGTCCGCTGTGAGCCTCTTTGGACTGGTTGATAGTGTTCTGCAACTCCTGAATCTTCTTGTTGGAACTACCAACTTGATCACTGTGGGATTTGTTGTTGCTTTCCAGTTCCTGAATCTTCTTTTGAAGTTCAGTGAGCCGTGCACTGTGAGCCTCATTGGACTGGCTGATGACAGTTTCCAACTCCTGAATTTTTTTATTGAGATTGACCACTTCTCCTGTATGTTGTTCCTGAATGCGAGAAAGCTCTGATTCCAAGCCACGAATGGTTTTCTGTAGAGCAGCAACTTCTCGCTCATGGTGCTCTCTCACTTCCTTTGCTTTGCTACTCTTGCTTTCAGATTCCGCCAAAGTCTGTTTGAGTTGATGGTCGATGGCACGGAGCTGCTCATTATGCTGCTTGAGTAACTCGTTCTTGGAATGCTTATATTCGTTTTCGAGTTTCGATAGCTGTTTTGATAATTCCTGCGCATGGCTTTGCTGTAGAGATTGGTTGGTTTGTCGAAGCTTTGACACCTCAACTGCATTGGATTCCTTTGTCTTTCGGTGGTCCAACTGTTCTTGATCAAGCTTTCGTTGGATGCTAACGAGATCGGACTCCAATGCTTGAAGGGTCTGAGTGCGATCTTCAATTTCTGCACGCAATGAATCAACAAGCTCACGCGAAATTCCCTTTTCGACGCCATTGGCAACAACGGAGATCTCAAACCCGGGTTCGCGGTCAATGGCACGAAGTAATCGGCTAAAGTTATCTTTGAGGAACTCAACGAATGAACGGTCAAAAAACACCTCCGGCAGTCCACCCTCGAGCTGACCACCAGCGGTTTGGGGAAGGACCTCAAAGTCGCGAACCAATGGACATTCTCGAAGTCTTGTGATCTTGTCAATATACTGTTCCCTGCCAAGCTGCTCGATGAGTAGCTTGTGGAGCGTGGCGCGTGGGATCGGCGAGTCTTTGGTGGAGAACTCATATATGACACCCAACAACACGGTGCAAAGGCCGGGCACCAATTTACTAGGGGCGCGCTGATGCTTGATTTCCTGCAACAAGGTTTGGATGCAGCTACCCTCTCCAAGAAGATCATTCACAACGTCTGGGTCTTCAAAAAGCCAACCACAGAGCAACATCAGATAACCGACAGTGATTCTTTCATCGTCACCGCGTTGTAGACCAGTAATTAGGTTTCCAACGACAGATTGGACACTGGTGATCACTTCTTCGCCACTCTCAGCATCGCCCTCAGTGACACCCATAGCTGTTGCCTTAGCCTCTGCATCATCGAAGAGCAAATGGAACATCAGAACACAGGCCATCCACACTTGGTACGGATCGGCATTGCCGCGCGCTTCGGGTGCAGTGAGCAGTACAGATAGAATATTGGGAATCCGATCCTGCCCGCTGGTATGTCCTTCAATTGCTCGCCTCAGAACGTGCATGCGAATTCCAGAATGATGGGCGAAGAACGCTTTCATACATTCGCAGGCAGCAAGTCGTGCATCCAAGAGGTTGTTAGGAGCAGGTTCGAGGCTGAGCTTTAAGAATGCTTCAATAACATTGATGCGTAAAGGTTCATTAGCATCACCATTGACAGCCTTGTCGCCGCCGGGGTAGGAGCCCCACAGGACTTCGATATCACCGAACCTTTCTTGTAACGGTGAATTGCCGCGAATCAGATCGGCACAAGTTGACAAGGCCTGGACTTGTCAGTCAGTCATAAATACGGACAAAAAAGGGTAATATCAACATCTCACCTTTGAGGTCACACTGACACTGAACTTTTGACCGAATGCGATGCTAAGAACTTGTTCCGTTACGCCATTCTGCCAGAACGCCGTCTGGTTGATGGGTGTGCTCATGCCACCGCGAATCAAGAACAATTGAATGATGGCCAACAAGCCCCAGACGTTCTTATCTCGGTGGACTAGAGTCCACTGTGGCGCTTGATCGTTGTCTTCTGGCTCTTGCTGACATTCATGAAGCAACTGCGTTACCCTTTTCACACAACCGGTCTCGCGGAAAAACGATTGGTTGGAAACATTGAACCTCAAAAGGTGAGCCAACAAGGAGAGGCAGTCTTCCACTACCTCGGTCCCATGAGTCAATGCTCCCTCGGCTTCGATAAGAGAGAAAAGTATTTCAAATGCGTTCTCGAATGCCACAAGCTTTTGCAGCTCTTCCGAGGCGGGGGTCAGGGCAATCAACAAGACGAGAGCCTCTAGCGAATGAAGAAAACAGTTTGTTAGCTCCAATCTTTCATGTCCCACATGGACGCAGATGTTCAACAAGACATACCGTTTCGTACTGGTTCCCTCGCATCTGTCAGCATACTAACTAGTTTGGAAATACCTAGCGGCGCTGTAAAAATGCATTCTTGTGTTCGTTCCGGTCGTGCGCTGCAAATGTGCGAAATCAATTGGAGTGAATAAAGGCGGGGGTAAAATTCGCGGGCTTCCAAAAGGTTGAGTAGGGTAGTTATGTTGTCTTGTCGCTTTAGAGATGTCAGTCCATCATCTCGGGACCGAGGTCAAGATGCGTACCTGAGTGAATTCATCTGCCAGCCATAGAGCTATTTCGTCCGACGCTTCAGGCTAAGCATATATATGAGTAACTCGTGTGCAATTATTCAAAGTACAAAATACCCACACTAGATTCATCAGGCGTGAAGAGCATCAAAAGGGTCTCGAGGACCACTTTGATTGTGTCCACATCTTCACTGTCATTGCGTAGACTGCTAATCAATGACCGCAGGCCACCAGAAGCGACTGAAGCAGGGTAAACTTTTGCAAAACTTCTTAATCCTTGGATTGCTGCGCGACGATCTTCCAACAATGTAGCACTCTGCAGTCTACTGCTTAATACGTCGATTGTGTCCGTAGCCGTTTGTTTGGCCGGAGCTTGCGACTCGAGGATTCGGAACATCGTAGTTGATTCGCAATATCATGGTCATTGCCAGCCGAGGGCATAGAAAATGGTAGTCATCTATGAGAGAGCAAAAAGTGAAAAAAGTGAAGAGGTTGGTTCGCTGATTGCAGTAGAAAGCTGTCCTATTGTACTGCCAAAGGGGGCTAAACGCCGATCTTGGGTCAACCCGCAGAATCGCCGACCGCCCGGAATTTATCTTTTCGTCAACGGCAAGCTCTTTTTCGCTGCTAGGAACCTGCACCGCGATCATACCTGCGGTTGCGTCTCTTTTTCTCTATTAAATGCTCCAAAGGGGTCTCTATTTCATCTGAACTGGCTCATATTGCATCTCGTTCACGAACAGAGAGATCGCGCCTGCGCCTGCACGAACGCCATCAACTGATTGCGACAACAGTACCGAAACCCCTAGAAATATTGATCTCACCAGTGTCGCATTACCATCATGGGTGTCCCCGCCCTGTTCCGATGGCTCTCCAACAAGTATCCGAAGATCGTGTCTCCGGTTATTGAAGAGCAGGCCCAAGTGGTCGACGGA